CTCTCCCTCCCTCCCTCCCTCCTTCCCTCCCTTCCTTTCTGAAACAGTGAGTTTAATTAGGGCTGCTTACAAGAGAACAGGCTACTCACCAGGGTCTGCACCACTGTCAAAAATGTCTCTCCCTCTCCCAGCAACCATTAACTGCTTATGGATCTTCAGGGAGGGGCAGGGCCTCATGAGCCTCTAGCCCTGCAAGTGCAGGGATTTTTTGATCACTTTAAATCCTTTGTGTGTGTGTGTGTGTGTGTGTGTGTGTGTGTGTGTGGTGTGTACACGTGCATGTGGGGTGTGCATGACCGGAGGCTGGAGGTCAGTGTTGTGTCTTCCCCAGTTATTCTCCGTCTTACTCATTTATTTTTGTTTATTTTATTTTGATCCAGATTTGTTTTCAGATTCTCATCCACCGGTAAAATTGATTTATGAACGTCATTTTCATGAGAAAGACATAAGGCTTGATAGCCATCATGTTTATATTTTTCTTAGATATGAAATTAAATGTCCATATAATTTATTTTTCCATTTGCTCCCATGTGATGTTTATATTATTATTATTATTACTATTACTATTATTATTATTGGTCTTTTTGAGACAGGGTCTCCCTGTAGCCCCAGATGGCCTGGAACTTGCTATGTCGACCAGGCTAGCCTTGAACTTACAGACATTCACCTGCCTCTGCCTCTAGGGATTAAAGACATGGGCCATTGCACCCTACCCCACCTTATTTTTTGAGACACAGTCTCTCACTGAATGTGGAGTTCTCAGACTCAGCCAAGTTGACTGAGCCCCAGGCATCTTCTCTCTCTGCCTTCTCAGTGCTGGGATGAGGCATGTACCTGGCTTTTACACAGGTGCTGGGGATCGAACTCAGATCCTGATGCTTGTACAGCAAGAACTTTACTGACTGAGCCATCTCTCTAGTCCCTTGGCCACTTAAAAAAACCATTCTATTTTTGAAATGAAATCTCACTACGTAGCACAGGCTACATAGTGCCACTGTGCCAGGCCCACCTTGTCCGCTTCTGTGCTCCAGCGCCTAAAAAAGTGCTTAGCACATAGTAGGTGCTCAGTCAATATGTGCTGGATGAAGGTGCCTCTCTTATCCTTTCTGATTCTAACTCATCTGTGTTTCAGAGCACCTGTATCCCTGTCTTCTCATGCCTCCAAGTCTCCTCATTCTAGCCCCTGTCATCATTTTGTCTCCATTTTAGAGTCCTATGTCTTCCCTCTCCCCGGGCTTTTGTTTCAATGCTTCTTTTTGTCCTGTGGTTGCCCGGACTCCGGGTGTAGCGGGGAAACTGCTTTGGGGTGTTGTCTCTGGCAGAATCCCGCAAGGTTGTTGCTCCTCACTAATCCTTTTGAGGAAGAGGAGCCCAACCTGGAATTTTAGGATATTAACTACTAAATCTTTAAATCTTTAGATTTACAAAACTCAGAACTTCTGATACCCTTCATAACCCTTTGTAATATTCCTCCTTAGGTTCTTTGGTTTCTTTGCTTTGTCTGTCCCCCCACCCCCCATACTGAGGACTGAGACTAAAGCTTCATGCATTCTCCTTTTTCAAAACGTTTAAAATTTTTTTATTTATTATTTTTATTTTCTGTATATGTGTGTATTGCCTGCATGTAGGTAAGTGCACCTGTGTCATGCAATACCCGTGGAGGTCAGAAGAGACTGTCAGATCCCCTGGGACTGGAGTTATGGACAGTTGTTAGCTGCCATGTGGGTGCTGGGATTCAAACCCGTGTCTTCTGCAAGAACAACCAGTGTTCTTAACCGCTGAGCCATCTCTCCAGCCCCGCATTCTTTTTTTTTTTTTTAAAAAAGATTTAGTTGAGATTTATTTATTTATTTTGAGACAGGGTCTCACTTTGACTAGCCTGAAACTCATTGTGTAGACCAAGCTGGCCTCGAACTTACAGAGATCCATTTGCATCTGCTTCCTGAGTGATGGGATTAAAGATGTGCACCATCACACTTGGCCCAAGATTTATGTATTTTAAAAAATATTTTATCATTTTTATTTTTATGTGTATGCCTGTATTGCCTGTGTGTAGGTAAGTGTACCCGTA